ATGAGACATATAAACTTATAAAAATAAAAAAAAAAAACTACCTGAACATTTGCCAGTTCCATACAATAAAGCGCCGCACCCCAAATAAACAACTACAAGACCGTTACAGAGCGCACTTTAATGCTCATTTCGTTTCTCCGTCAATAGAATTTCATTCTGTCCAATTCATATTTTTTTTTCTGACAGAAGACAATTATGTATTATTTTGTACTATAATTTCCTGATTGAAGCGCACCATTATAAACATGTATGATAAGAATTAGAAAATTTTATTCAAAAAAAAAACCAAATATAACAATAGTTTAACAAATTAAATAGGATTGTAAATCCATTTTGACAGTGGACCATGCTCTCGTACAAGTTTACATGTTGCACCATCTGGTATTAAACGTCCTTCTTCACGCATCTTCTCGTATTCATCTTTATCCCACTTTGTAAAACCCCACTTCCTTGATACCACAACAAGCTGACGCCCAGGAAACTTAAATTTCGCTCTTCGAAAAGCTTCTACCGCATGCTCTTCGTGCTAAAGATTAATAACAATCAATTCTTCAAGATTTTTACAACATTATCGGGTTTTGCAATCTAAGAAACGATAGAATAATAAGCCATTGAATTTCGACTGTTATGCAAGACGCTATAGCAAATATCATTTACCTTTTCAATTCAGTTTATTGGGGCTCAAAAAATGAAACGAAAATAAATAAAATCAAATTATTCACAACAAATAACTCAAGATATGTACCCCAAGAAAATGCAGACTTATTGACTGCTTCCATTATAACGTGAAGTAATGTCTTCCCTTAAATAACTTCTCTAGCAAACAAAACAAACCTGCTCCTTTACTCGTACTGATATTAATATGTCACCAATATCAACTCGTGCAACTAGGCCTTGAGGTTTACCAAAAGCTCCTCGCATTCCAGTTTGTAAGCGATCAGCGCCTGCACACGATAACATTTTATTTATGCGTACAACATGATATGGATGCTTACGAACGCGCATATGAAAACCGTCTTTACCACAGTTCTTCACCATATATTTGTTGGCACAAATACGAGCTGCCTAAAAATGGAAACGTTTGCAAATCTGAATTAGGCCCCTTTCGGTATGAAACTACACAACATTACCTAAAGCATCTTCGAAAGAAGAGTTATTTGGATTTAAATTCCTCTATTCAGTCACAACTATTCTGCTTTTCCTGAACTTTTTCCAAACTTGCAAATAATTTGTGCGTTTTCATGTAAACCAAAGGAAAGAAAAATTGCTAGGAATTATAAAGGAACTCAATTTTAGCAATCTGTTAAACAAAAATTTTCAAGAAGTTTAGATTTAAACTACAAAAAAAAAAAATGCACCTCAAGCGCTTCTGATGAAAGATGCTCCCTTTCATTGGACATTAAATGAACACATAATGGGAATTCATCAACTGTAGCTTTCTTTTTGCCTAGATCAAAAATACGAATTTTCGGATCCGGAACACCGCGACAGAAGCGTGACTTAGGATATGGCTTGTTCTTGATATAACGATAGCATCTTGCTGGTCGTCGCCCCATTTTCAAAAAAAAAAAAAAAACTTCAAATTTAACTAATAAAATGAGAAACACAATGTGCAACACACGTCATCTCCAAACTTTTCACACACTTCTTCCCATTCATGACTGATTGCACACACTGATAATTATTATAAGGCTATATGTTGCACGATAATCATCACTGATTATGATAAACTGTGATAATCACAATTATGCATTTCTGATATCGATAACAACGATAAACTGTAACAATCACCACATATCATCCAAGAACTGAGAACCACCACCACAGTCCAATTCCACCTAAAACTGCCAAAGGGAGGAGGAGCACTTCGAACCACAATCATCCAACTAAGACCGGAATGACGTATTGCAACGGTTTGATCCCCGTCTCTATGGATGCTTTTACTTCCGAGAGTTCTCGGGAGTTCTCGGCTTTCACTTTTAATTTGGAAGGAGTTAAATTTGCCAAATTCTAGAAATGGTGTGAAAATGAATGAGCTGGAATTTTCGTGGTTGGAAGGAAAAGGAGAAAGGCATAATTTGCATATTTCAAGACATGAAAATTTCGAAAGTAACATCTAAGTTAATGTAAAACACAGGAATCGTTCGTATGAACCTATAAATGATGCAGTGTTGGTTTAATTTGTTGAAGGATGATTTAAATATTGGGATGAGTTCATCTCATAGGTCAACGATTGAATCGTTTTCATTGCAATAAATAAGAAGGCTTTCATAGGCGGATGTAGTTAGTGATAGGAGAAGCCTAACTTAAAATGCTAATGAAATAGTTGAATTTGTCATTCTGCTATTTCGTCTTTCTTTTTTTTGTTCAAATAAATATCTTATTATTGTTATTAGGTATTACTTTTTTAAAATATATGTTTGTATTTGTTCCTTTAGCAAATATTTAGAAGAAAATGTATTTTTTATTCAAAAAGTGTATTTTAGCAAATATTAAGAGAGTGTGTTTTTATTAAAACAATATTAATAGATTGTCTAAATCGTTGATAACTGATAATATGCATTAGTTGAGGACTAATTTAACTGATTATGATCTAAACGTTTCTCAGGAAGACTGTTGATATTTCATCCAAATGTTGTAAGCATAGATATCTTGCTATAATCATACTACGAACACAACATTTAATCTGTAACGATTATAACTTTACAAATATTTCAGAGTACGAGCGAAAGTATTGAGAAACATCCGGAGAATTCGCACTCGAATTTTACTGCTTTTGGTGGTGATGAAGAAATTTGTCAATTTTGCCCCTGTTCAGTGCTGTAGATCTATTTTAAATGGAAGTTGAAGTAAATTTTTCAAATATTTCCGAATTATCATTTCCTGGTGTGTAAAACGTTTGCATTTGTTTACAAACGGTGAAATTTAGATCATCTTTTCGCAAGCAAAACGATAAAGTTTGTGAGCTTATTTTTTCATACGTGCTATTCATTAGATTTCATTCTATTTGATATTTAGGAAGAATACTGCAATCGGTTTTAGCATCGCATGATCAATTAAACGATAGCTGAAGTAACAGTTAAGTTGTATAGGTATAAGAAATTCCTAAGACATAAAATAAAATATTAAACACAAAACTTTTTGAAAGAATTCCTTAATAGAAGAAGCTAAATAATTTTCCTAAATTATCTTCAGTTTCTTTTTTTAGTTTCATGTAAAAATCATTTTCAATCAAATGAAACAGTTTTAGCTGTTTCATATGATTGAAAAGTTTCATTTCATTGAGCATACATTAATTCCAGCCATCTCACGTTGTGTCACTTCTATTGTTCAAATTATACAGATAGATGTTTTGAATGTTGCAAGATAATAAAAAAATTGCAAATTTGATGCATTGGCGCTATTATATCAGAATCTCAGCTGCGGACCGAGGTATTTGTTACAAATGATAAGCAGTTATAATCATAAACTACTTAACAGCAAGATTAAAGTGGTATGTTGAGATCATTATAGTATTGAGCTCATTACGACAATCAAAGCCTCATATGATTTTTGCTTTTCTCACATTGTGAAATAAGTTAATTTTTGTTTTAATCAGTGATAGTGGACAACAGCTTAACACTACATCGAGAAATTTTTAATGAGTGCTTTTTGCTACTTGAAATGATAAAGGCTTGAATATAAACGACTGATGTTATAAGAGATTAAGTTTAGCGAATTTTCTTTTAAGTCAGGATTTTTCACCTTTATACTTGCTGACATGATCGATCAAACATTTATGTTAATTATGGAGTGGAATCATATTCGTTAATTTCCGTATATAAGCATATAGCTTTCGAAATTACACTTTTTATACGTTGTGGTTATGACTGCAAACTGTTGAACTTCTATAACCCAAACTTTACCCAGAAGCTTTTCTGCGCGAGTTGAATCGGTTTATGATCTTGCTGTTCGCTATTCCATAAAATCCCATAAAAGAAAAGCGAAGGAATGACTGAACAAGCGTTTTTTTTTACCGCTGTGACTTAACAAGGCGTTGTTTAATTAACACCATTGCTAGTGATGATTGTTGTGAATGCGAAAAAGTAATTGAATTGAGCTAATTTTAAAAACAAACAAAATACCACACAAATATGCTACAAAAATAACAAACAACCAGACAAAGATTACGGCATGGATTTTTATAAAAATCGCACTGATGTAAAGCCTTCGATTAACATGTTAGGAAAACCTACCAAAGTATCCACAACGCATCTGCTGAAAAGAAAATCTTCGCGAACATAGAAGTGCGAGAGGATTTGGAATGCACCATACAAATGGCCAATTAGAAAAAAAGAAAAGTCAAAGTCATTTAAATTCTTCCAAAGTTAAGATTCTCCCTTAACCATGCGAAGTATGTTTGAATAATAAGAATTTAGTGAGTATTAGGTGATGGAAATAGCTGCGAACACAAAGCTATTGTGAAAGAAAAGGAATGAACACAAAAACAGAAAGGCTAAAAAACATACACAACATTCAATTGCATTTTTAAAGAACTGTATAAGGGCTTGTTCAAGTAATACAGAGAAAAAAAGCGGTTCACAATAATCATTGGAAAGAAAATTTCTGGAAAAATAGAATGAATACGATTAGTATAGAAGAGGACAGGAAGGATATTCCTATACTTCTAAAATTAACTCTGTAAAAAACATTCAGCATTACTATAATAGCTTACTACAATGTCTTCCAGCAGAAATTATACTTTCGTTTGAAAAGACATATAATAAATCATTACGCAGTCATAACATAACTTGAAAAAATAATTCACAGATGCAAAATCTTCATTTCAATAAATATCCTATTATGCGAAAAGAAAACTTTGGCCGGAAGCAAACTGTGTACTAATGCATGAAAATGAATCCTCTAATTTTAAGATCAGCGAAAAAAAAAAATTGTATTAATCATTCCCCCTTTTTTTTTTCAAATTTCATAAGTACTATAAATACTCATTTTCAGTTGATACAATAGTATTTGTATCACTGTGAATAAGTTGTTACTTTTAACCCTATGCTACAAACATTTTTGTATTTTTTAAACAGTGTTTATGTAAACGTCTTTTTTACTAATCAACAAGTTTCATGAATTGAAACCTTCCCTCCAGTCTTAGTGGCATAATTTCCTACACAATTTTTACTGATAAATATTCTCAATTGCAAAATTAATCAAATCCTAAAACGCAACAATTTTGTGTCCCGTAAGAAAATATTTTCATTAATTTCAAAACTTGAAATATAAAATACGAATTCATTTCGATGTTAAAAATGATAAATCCTTTCAGTTTTTGAAAAAAATTTTTTACCCTTGGTATAAAATAACAAGAACACTAATGCTATGCTATTCTAGATGTGCCGGAAGATGTATTACCAACAATTGCAGTGATTGTAGTAATAACAGGAGTAGAATGTAACGATGAGGAAGGCGATTCGTCGACATTTTCTTCAGTAACCACTGTGGCCAAAGAAGAGTCAGCCATAACATCGCGCATTATTTGCAAATGCCGTTGAACGTTACGTATTGCCGATGAGAAAGCTGGCACCACCTGATCTCCACTATCGTTGTTCATCTTCAAAAAGCAATGAAAATTTATTTTTCAGATGTTTTTTGTGTCTCATTGCTAGACTAGAACTTTGCTGGACCAATTTCTAAGCAGTTTTGTAGGAATAATTTTTTGTTACCCAATGAACCTAATTGCAAAAAAAAAATCAAACAGCATACATAAATGTAAACATAAATGGCTTAATTTCTAGAAGTTAATTCTAAAACGTAATATTTACGGAAAAACTGATTGAGAAGTTAAAATCACCTTCATGATTCGTCGTGCAAATTCAAAAGCTGGATTATTAGTTACGCCAAGAAGCGTAACACGAGATGGTATTTCCAGCCAACCTTAAGCAATATTAAAAAAGTGTACATATGTGTGGACTTGATAGCGAGAAGTAGAAACAAATTTTGAAGCATACACTATCAAATATGTTAATCATATACTAATAGACTTAATTAATTACCTGGCAAAATAGAACGAAACGAAATAACATTAGAGTCATCCAAATACTGCTCATCCAATGGTACATAGAGAAGTTGTTCAGCGGTTGGACGTTCTGACGGTTCTTTTCGCAACATGCCAAAAATTAAAACACGTGCTGCAACAAATAATTTCCTGGCTATTTAAAGTCGAACCAATGCGTATAAGTGCTCCGAAATAATAAAAGCTTACTGCAAATAGGACAAATATGAATTTTATTACGATCAATACTACTAGTGTGCCTCGGAAAAAGTCACTGTACGAAAGAATAATGTATACCTGTTTGTGATACTGGAATTTGTGGTGGAATACTAAATTTTGCCTTCAGAATTCGATAAAACAATCTTTGGGGTGTTGCGTCATTGAAAGGATAACTGCAAAAATTTCGAATAAAGAACTGAAAAGCATATTAGCTTTCCTCCTATTTGATCTTCACTTCATATTGTCGACTTATTTCAGATACAAACCTTCCGAATAGTAAAACATAGAACAGAACTCCTAGTGCCCAAATATCAGCAGGACGACCGGCATACTCAGGAGAATCCTTCAATATTTCAGGAGCAACATATGCTGGACAACTATGTCTATCACGTAATCGATCATCTTTGATATCCTCACAAACAAAAACATCAAATACATCTCGTAATCTCAGTTGTGTCCTAAAATTATATTAATGAATCGCAGTAGAATATGGAACACAGAATTGTTCAATAAATAAAAAAAAAAGAAAATTTTGAACCTTGAAAAGACAGGAAAAAAAAACACTTGCATTTGCTTGTCTATGAAGACGAACTTTCGTAGTTTAACATCACGTACAACAATTCCGCAGGCATGACAAAAAGCAATTCCCCTGACAATTTTTGAAAACAATGAAAATGCTTCGCTTTCTGAAAGCTTAATTTTTCCCGCTTGAACCTTACTGTGCAGAGTACCATACTGCCAGTTGGAAAACATAAAACGCTGGCCATTATTATCCGTACATACTTCCGTTCCTGAGGGCAAAACAAATTCTCTGAAAAGAGAAAAAGTGCTGGTAATCTGGGACAAATGATATAAAATTCAAAAAATTTGCTTAAAAAAAACTGAAACAGAAAGCCTGAAATTTTTTCATTTCAATTCTGACATAGTTTGTTTTTTTTTTTATCCCAGGTAAATTTTATCCCTTTCATATCTAACTGCACTGAGTAAAAACCTCATCTCTTCCAAATCTTCATATTTCCAATAATTTTTGGCTTCATTCAGACGACTTGCGATTGATAACAGTTTCATATATTGCTCATTGTCGATAGGCTGGAAAATACTTATAGAAAAGCTGTAGAAATTTATCTTATTTTTTAACATCATAAAGAAATGTTCAAACTCAAAGAAGTATTCTACTTCTTAATTGAATATTAAAATTATATCTATAAAAAAAATATTTCGCGCTATACAGCTGTATGTGCTCACCTGACAAGTTTTTACAATTTTTTTCTCGATGTGATACGCCACAAGTTCTTTCCCAGCACCAACTAACTGATAACCACAAACGATAGTGTTATTTACTTCTGGCCGTGTTCGATTTTTCTAAAACAGTTATAACATTAAAAAAAAAAAAAACCCAAATATTAATTACAAAAATGACAGCCTATAGGTTTAATGTAGAAAACAGTAAAAGGTCATCAATAAACCTTTGTGGAATTCTTAGCGTAACAAAGTGGACTTTTGGATTGACTGCCACTCAGTTCTGATAAAGTCACATCACCAGGTGCTGCTCCAACATCTCGTGAACGTTTTTTCGCATTACTTTCACAATCCTCTGAATGAATGCTGAAGCTTAAACATCAAACTATGCTTTAAGATTTCGTTCAACGAACTATGAGAAATAAAACTAAAGTAAATGCATAAATATTGAACTTTTTTCCGTAAAATATTGCACTTTCTATCAAACAAGTGGTCTGAAGAACTCGAGCCATTAATTTCATTGTCTCCAATTTTTATTATCTGCTCTTTGGTATTTTTATAAAAAATGCATTCAGCAGTTGGCTTATGTTTCAAAAATGCATTAGCTTTGAAACAAATTCCGTTTGCCAACATATTTTCAAAGAACAATTTTTCACCTCTAATATATAAAATTTTTGAATCTACTTCAAGATGTAAAAAATTTTATCACACTACTTTCAAATTCAAATTTATCGGTGATTTTCTGTGCAAACAATGTTACCAACAACATCGTAAGCAATGATTATAGTAATCCAAACTTTGAAAACACTGCCTACAGTGT